TTTTATTTTTCGGCACTATTCACTTTTCGTCTTTTTCCCGTATGTCACTTTACTGGCACGGCCTTACTTTTTGTGTTCGGATTTGATTCCGGTTTTGCATGCATCCACGATATTTAAATTCCATGCTATGTGTATTTTTACTTTTGTAGAAAAGCATACTAGTTATGTACTTTTTTCCTTAGGGGTGTGGATGCACACTTCTTTGGAATTTCTCTTTCTTTTGGAGTCGTTTGTGTAATTACTGTAAAGTAATTATTTTTCATCTTAAGGACCATTTTAAAAGACCTTTTTGTAATTTTTGGAAAGTGTAACAAGTGTCACACTCTCATTGGTCCACTTGTTGACATTTGTGTGGGGACATTTTGATGCCTTGGATGATGACATGTGGAGGGTGAAGATTCACCCACTTGTTAACCTAGGATAGGCGTACTTGTTGGCTTGGATGGTTGATAAGTGTAGGCTTAGGATTAAGCCTACAATGGATGCTTGGATGAGTGACAAGTGTATGCTCCAAATTAAGTCTTGCAATTATTTTTGGGCCACTTTAGGATTATGGTTTTAAAGAGGGGTTTTTGTGCAATTGACCATAGATGTGTATGTTGACCATGGTATAGGATCACATAGTGAATGGAGGATTTCTATTTCCTCCACTCACACATTTTCACATTATGTCATTTTATTCTTTACAAGAAACCCTAGCCTCCATGGATGGAGCTTGAAGCCTTAAACCTTGACTTTGATTTTTAAAAGCCTTCCATTAATTTTCAAGCTAAACCTTGGGAATACTTTTTGTTCCTCTCACTCTCCTCTGCATAACCCTTGACGGGTTTGTCATTTTGTGTTGATTTGCCTTGGATTCAAGAGAGACTCTTCTCTAGTGAGGTAGGGGGTGTTATAATTTATTTTCCAAGTGATTTTACTTGCTTTTGTATGAGATATAAGTTGTAAGCATTTCTTTTGTTCATTTAAGAAATTAATGATATATCATATTATACTTATAACTCATTTTAGACTTGATATATGGCATAGCCATGACTTGATCTTTGTTGTATATTAAATTGGTATGATTTAAATGAGTTTTCAAATCTAGAGATTAAATGGATTTAATTTGATTTAAATTCTAGTTAATTGTATTTTGCTTGTATTCCATTTTAGACTTGAGATATGGTATGACTATGACTTATTGCTTGCTATATATTAAATTGGGATCATTTGAACAACTTTTGAAAATTAGAGATTTAATCAATTTAAATTATTTAAATTCTACATGATGATGTCTTGCTCATTTTGCTCTTTTGATTTGATATATGTAATGAGCATGTTATGTTGTTTAACATATAATAATTTGAGGTTATTGAAAGTAATTTAAAATCTAGAGAATTTAATTATTTTGTTTAATTAAATTCTATCTAATGGCTCCATGGATCTAATTGTGTTTTAGAAGTCGTTTCTATATTCAAATCATGGACTTGGACTTGTTGTTTATTCACTTGGTTATGTTTTGAGCAGAGGATAACATTGTTGTTATAATTATATTCATGAGAGCATGTTTTCTTTATGGGATATATTGTTGCCTTGTGTAATGAGTTGCACACCTTGCATTTGATATCTTTCATGCCATAGTAGTTGTGGACTTAGAGAGTATGTATTGTATGTACTGCACACCCCTCCACTTGTCACTACCCCACATACTCTCACAAGATCACATCATATGCTTACATTTGTCATCATCCAAAGTCACCATCCAAGGCTTACTCCAAGCCTTACACTTGTCAACAATCCAAGCCAACAAGTGTACCAATCCTAGGCTAACAAGTGGGTGAATCCTCACCCTCTACATGTCATCATCCAAGGCTTCCAAGGGTTACCAATGGATGATGACAAGCGGACCAATGGGAGTGTGACACTTGTCACAATTTTCAGAAATTACAAAACGGTTCGTCCACCAAATATCTTGCAAATTAAATTGTAAAATGGTCCCAAAGAAAAATATCTTAAGAAATTTTAATTACAAAAACACCACGTAAAACAAGAATGTTTTCGAAGAAACTATGCATCCAAGCCCTTTACGCAAAAAGTAAACAAGTAGCATACTTTTCTACAAAAGTAAAACTACATATTTCATGGAAATCAAATAATATGGATGCATGCAAAGTTGGGATCAAATCCGAGCACAAAAAGTGAGGTTACCCTAAAGAAAACGATAACTGAGAAAAGGACGAAAAAGGAAAAATTCTGGAAACAAAAAGTGTGAAGATGTCACGGTTCTCGCATGGATGTTACAACCTCAAGCAAAGTAGTGTCAAAAACCATTTCCAACACTTAACACAAACCGAAAGAACAAAAGCTGAACTTGGAAAAGGAAAAAAAAAAAAAAAATCAACGGAAAAAAAAAGAAGATCCGTAAAAATGGAAAAGAAGGGAAGGAAATGATCGGGTTATTACACTTGATTACTCTTCTATTATTGGATGAATGTAATCTAAACATTGATGTTTGGATACTATGTTCTTTGGTGCTAATTTGAGCAGAATTGATGCAAGCTTGGGTTTAAAATCATTTTTAAATTAATGATTATTAAAATTTAGCTTTTCTATTGGTATTTGTGTTAACATAAAATTTATTTTTTCCATAGATTGATAATTTATAACTTTTAATAGATGGAGACGAGAAATGGAAATAGCAAGCAAAAATATTGTCAAATATATATAGCAAAAATATTGCCAAATATATGTATAATATATATATTGCGCACAAAAAAAAAAAAAAAAAAAAAAAATGATTTATCTGTTGATAGTTTTTTGTCCCAAGTAAGCATTTGGGACAAGATAGTTTTTGTCCCCAAAATGTAATTGGGACGGAAAGTTGATCCATCCCAACTACTCATTTGGGATGGAATGTTGTTTGGTCTCAATTAGTCCCTCCCTAGATGGATTTTAGGATGCTACATATAGAGACGGTGACATTAACTGTCCCAAATGCCTTTTGGGATGATTTTGGCACTTTTAAGGATGATTTTGTCTGTCCCTAATCCCCTACATTCTTGTAGTGCACGTATTTCGAACTCGATGGGTCCGATTTTTGTCTTCTTGGTTAATGCATCAGTTCTTAGAATATGGGGCATCTAGGGGTGGCAAAAATCCCCAACCCGGTGGGCAGCCGCCCCGCCCTCACCCCATTTAAAACGGGTTTGGGGAACCGTTTACTTAAATGGGGTGGGGATGGGGGTTTAAAAAAAAAAAACCCAGGCCGGTTTCGGGGCGGGGACTCAAATCCCCGTCCCAAATCCGCCACAAAACTGGCCCCGATTAATAAGTGAAAATATTTTATTATGATTTTATAAACCATATACTGCTTTCACTTTCAGACTTTCTATATTCCTAAAGATTTCTTTCAGACTTTCTATATTCCTAATGATTTTTTTTAAGACTTTCTATATTCCAAAGATTTCTTTCAAACTTTCTATATTCCTATTAATTTCTTTCAAACTTTCTATATTCCCAATGATAGTGAGGCGGCATATATTCCCGATTTCTTTCAGACTTTTTATACTCCCAATGATAGTGAGGCGACATATATTCCTAACGGCGCATAGATTTGATGAAGCAATTAGCAGGTACTCCTACAGTCCTACCGTTCTACACTCCTTCCTACCTCTTTCACCGGCCATCTTGATCCACCGCCTGAGCTGACCTTCGTCTGAGCCGACGTCCTCTATTTTTGCAGATGTTTTTTCTCAATTACAGGTTAGTTCAAACAATAAGATCCATCAATTGATACTAATTTAAGCCAAAATGTTTTTCTTGCAATTTTCTGGATCGGATTTGAAGTTTTTCTTGCAATAGCGTGTCATATCCATGTTTTTTTTCTTATTTTTTTCAGATTCTAAATAGAGTGCAAATTTTGGTGTCATATATATCAAATGGGAAAATTCATTACTGTTACGAATCACTAATATATTTTGATGTTTTGTGAGATGTTATATATATATATATATATATATATATATATATATATAGATATAATGATTGTGATGTTGTCTTTTTTGCATAAAGGTCAAATAAATGGTAGTAGAAGTTTGTTGAAGATGATAATAGCCCCAAATAGTCTGACGTTTTCATTTGGCAATGCAATTATATAATATAATATATTAATATACTATAATACAATTAACATAGATACATATATGTGTGTGTCAGTGTGTGTATATATATATAATTTTTTATTTTTTATTTATTTGTATGTATGTCCATGGAATTTTTATATCTTTCTACTAATTTTATATTTTCGTCTGCATTTTTTTATATCTAAAAACAGTAAGTTGAAAGATGTTGGAGCTGGAGTTGGAGGGAAAATCTATGACTTCTCAACCTCAAAATATAGTTACAGAACTTACAGAGCCTTCAACAAATGCTAATTTAACTCCAGTTGTCTCCTCATTTGTTGATGTCCCTGATGAAGACGTAACAGGTGATACAAGTAGCAAGAGAAAATTGACGTCAATTGTTTGGAATGACTTTCCTAAGGAAACAATTGATGGTGTAAAATATAGTGTTTGCAATCATTGTAAAAAAAAAAATGTTAAAAGCACCACCTAGTTATGGAACAAGTAGCTTGCGTGATCATTTAAAAAGGTGTAAGAGGCATAAAAAAAATTGTCACTTGAGACAATATATTTTGCAAGGCAATCTTAAAAAGATTGAAGGTCAAGTGAATCAAGCGGAATATCGTAATTTTGTGTTTGATAAAAATATCTCCCGACATGAGCTTACTTGCAAGATCATAGTACATGAGTATCCCCTTGTCATGGTTAACCATTGTCTCTTTCGAAATTTTGTTAATAGCCTTCAACCTATGTTTAACATGGTTTCTCGAAACACAATCAAGAGTGACATCTTAAAGATCTACAATTCCGAGAAGGCTAAAACATTGATCACTTCTGATATGTGGACTTGTAACCACTCAAAGAAAGGTTTCATGGCAATAACAACTCACTTTATCGATGACTCATGGGAGATTGCAACGAAGAATTTTGAGGTAATTTTAATTTAATTTTTAATATGTTTATTTTTTTTTCATAATTTTAATATGTTTATTGTTTATTTCATATAATGCATTTTTTTGTTTCACTTCATTTATGTTTATTAATTATGCATATTTTCATTTTATTATGTTTTAGATTTACCTATGTGCCTGCTCCACACAATAAGGAAGTTCTTTCTCAGTTGCTTATTGATACCATGTTAGATTATAATTTTGATAGAAATTTGTCCACCATTACCTTAGATAATTGCACCACAAATGATGCCATCAATGGTACTATCTTAGACAAGGTTGATTCAAGTACATTTTTACTTGATGGGAAGATTCTTCATATGAGATGTTGTGCACACATCTTGAACATGATCGTGAAAGATGAGTTAGAAGTAATGGGGGATGGAATTGAAAGGATACGTGATAGTGTGTATTTTTGGACAGCAACACCAAGTAGACTTGAAAAGTTTGAAGAGGCAGCTCGCCAATTGAAGATTCTATATAAGAAAAAGTTAGCTATGGATTGTAAAACCTATTGGAACTCTACATATCTTATGTTTCAAGTCGCTTTAATATATAAAGATGTGTTTCCACAGGCAAAGCAACGCGATAGGCTTTACACTAAAGTTCCAACTAATGAAGATTGGGAAAGGGGGATAGAAATTTGTGCGAAGTTGAAATTATTCCACACTGCTATAGAGTTGTTTTCTGGGTCTTTTTATCCTACTTCAAATTGTTATTTCCAAAAAGTTCGTGAAATCAGAGTTGCACTGTTTACTTGGCTTGAAAGCCCACTTGAGATCATTAGAGTGGTGGCATCAAAAATGTTGGTTAAATATGAGAAATATTAGAATGTTTGTCATGAGGTGATAGTGGTGGCGGTGGTTTTAGATCCACGATACAAGATGAAGCTAGTTAAATATTATTTTAATATAATTTATGGATAAGAAGCATTGGTTGAAGTTCAAAGAGTTCGATAAATTTGTATTGATTTACTTTTCGAGTACCAAAACAAGTCAAGCTCAATTAAAAGTAGTGTGGGTGGTTCATCTTCCAATATTACTTCTCTTACTGAACAAGTGGAAGTTGTGGAGGAGGATGATTTGTTAAAGTTTGACCGATTTGTAGACTCGAGTTCATATGAAGTGCAAACAATGACTGAGCTGGACTTTTACTTGGAAGAAAAAGTGTTGCCGAGAGAAATTGATTTTGATGTCTTAGGTTCGTGGAAAACTCATGCAATTAAGTATCCTCTTTTGAAAAGGATTGCTCGGGATATCTTAGCTATCCCAGTGTCTACAGTTGCATCGGAGTTTGCTTTTAGCACCGGTGGTAGATTGGTCAGTCCTCATCATAGTAGACTTCATCCAACTATTTTAGAGGCTTTGATGTGTGCTTAAAGTTGGTTGTTGAGTGAAGAGAATGGACAAAATGGTAATTAAATCTGATTTTTATTAAATCTAATTTTTTTTATTAAATAAATTCTCTTTAATGTAATGACTATCTAAAATGTTTTGTTTTATTTTTAGGAGCTCATTCAGACAAAGACCCATCCAATGGCAATATATTTTGTGATTGTGATGATGATGATTCTCCAAATTATGAAGTTTTGGACTAAGGTATTACATTAATTTTTTTAGTATTATACCTTATTATTTTTTCTTAACTTAACGTTGTTTTTTTTAAAAAAATTATTGTTTTTATTCTATTTTAGATTAGGTTGGTGACAATTGGTGGTTTTGAAGAGATCACAGAGAATGGTTTCAGATTCAGGCTGCTGTTTACGCTTAGATTATGGCTACTGTTTTGAATAGTTTTATTCCTCTTAATTAAGGCTATTGTTGGAAACTCTTACGTTTGTTTTTTGGCTATTTTTTTGCAATTTCATTTTTCTTGAAAGAATGTTATTTTTGGTTGATTAATGATGATGTTGGATGATGTTGCTTGAAATATCAAATTTATGTGGATCTGTTAGAAATTTTAAGATTTATGTGGTTTTGTTACAGAACTACTGTAGAATAAAAAAATTTGGAATTTTCAAAATTAATCGGTTATGGAGCGGGGGCGGGGCAGGGGCGGTTTTGGGGATTAGGGGTAAAAAAATAATTGGTTATGGAGAGGTTTTGGGGGTGCCAAATTTAAACGGGAATGGGGATGGGGATGGGGATGGGGATGGGGATGGGGAATGATAAAGCAGCCCCATTGTTGTCCCTAGGGGCATCACACCTAGGTGACGTGTCATTTGTGCCAACTAACCCCTTGTAACAAATTCATCAATAGTTGAGGAGGGTTTTGCACAAAAGAAAAAATTTCTTGAAGGGAGTAATCTGTAAAAGATTTATAGTGAAAGGAGGTAACAATGCAATTTGCTCACACACACACACATCTTATATATATAATGGCATGCATTCAATTTTCGCATTAGTGCAAGGAGGTTTATTGGCTTATTAAATATGATTATTATACCTATGCGGCATTCTAGCTTGCTTTATGAATTAAATTCTGCCGTCGAATCTTTATCACGAAACTATAAACGGCTATAAAGATTTGGAATGCATGGTACTTGCTGTATTTTCTTTGAACATTCCGAACTAGTGATATTATATATGTTAGTATGCGGCGTATATGAGAATGTAGTTTTCACAGTTATATATAACAGAATAGTTATGAGTCGATACTCACTTGTTCAATGAGACAAAATGAGAGAACATGTATTCTTGTACTCATCGCAAATGGCCTAATAACTCTATATACATACTATATATAACATTGTTTTTCTCAGCTTATTAATTTAATAAAAAAGAATATGAAAATGGCAGTTTAAGCCGGCCTGCTCAGTGAAAATATATATATAACATGAAGTTTTTGGCCGTCCCATTCAATCTCTCAACCAGCAGAGAGTTTTTAAGATGATTAAGCTTTGGAATTTTCTCCTTCATGCTGCCACATTTCTTGTGCTCATCTTTCAACAATTTTGTGGTAAGTTTTAGTCTCTTATATATAAGGTGATACTAGCTCATTTTCGATTTTGGATTAATCCAACACATGATCCTTAATTAAGAATTGGGATTGCTATATATGTTAGTTTATTTATATATGGTTAATTAATTAATGTTTTTCATTGTCATCATCATCATCCTAATGTAATGCAAAGCAAAATGTTTTTTTGTGCATGTGTTTCCTTAACTTTTTTGTATCATTTAATGCTTTAGATGGGAAGGTGATAATGGAATATATTGGAGCCACAGGCATTCCAGTCAGTTTTGATGATGTTCCAATTGAAAAAGACATTGCTTCCACTTCATCCTTAGCTTCGCAATCGATGCAGACTCGTTAGGCAATCCCCAAAATGGTTAATTTTCACCCTACTGGCAGTCAACCTTAACCCCGAAATCAGTTGCAGCTATCAAGGCGCGCCACCCAAACCTGAAAGCCTTGGCTAGCCTCTCCGGCTGGAGCCTAGGTCAAAAGGTCCTGCGCTGGTACAAGCCGGCCAATCTCCAGCTTTGGATATCCAACGCTTTCTCCTCCATCAAATCCATTGTCACCACTTACCATCTGGATGGTATAGATATAGACTACAAAAATTTCCCCAAACACAACGAAAGTTTCGCTTACTGCATTGGCGAGCTCATCACTCTCTTGAAGAATCAAAGTGTCATCTCTGTAGCAACCATTGCATCATTTTATAGCACCGTGATACCATATATCCAGCTCTTTAAGGGATACGGAGATGTTATTGACTATGTTAACCACCAGTTCTACACCGACAAGGTTAAGACACCGAAAGGATATCTGGAAGCCTTTAGGCTTCGGACCCAGCAGTTTGATAAGGGTAAGGTGCTGCCTAGCTATGAAGTAAATGGGAGGGGAATTTAAGGAGATGCATTTTTTGAAGCTTTGAAGCTTTTGGAGGTGAATGGGTTTGGTGTGAATGGAGTGATGATATTTTCTGCTGATGCTTCTTCTTCCAATGACATTTACTATGAGCGAAAATCGCAAGCTTTTCTGCTCAATTCATCAACCAGTGTATGATTTATTACTGCAAGCTTGTACAAAGCTAGGGTATGAATATGCATTGAGCAGGCTCTTGTATGAATTACTAATAATAAAGTGTAATTTTTTTTTGTTGGCATTATCCAGCCTAATTTCCAAGAATTCTATGCAAAAAATGATTTTAATCTATATACCTTATTTTCTTTTTATTGACTTATAATTTGCAGTCGGATATTTTCTTTGAAGATTATTAGTGAATCTCGACATTTCTGTATTTCCATACAAATGGCTTTGTGAGGAAATTGCTTTATTAATTTTCCAAATAAAAAATAGATTAATAATGTTCCTTTTTGAGAGGCTATTTTTTGCCGGTTCTTTTTCTAAGTGAAGATGGATTGTGTTTACGAAACTAATGCTCTGTTCGGTAGGAAAGAAAAAATATTATATAGAAGGCACTACAACAATTATGGTCTCTAACAATAATTTTATTTGCTGTAAAAAAAAAAAAAAAAAAAAAAAATGCTACATAACCACTTGATAGCATTTATGGTAGCATTTGCATTTGCTGTCCTAACCTATATCACGGTATGACAGCAATTGTATCTGTTGCCATATATAAAACATTAACAAAGCAATAAAAAGACTTATAGCAAAAGTTGAAAGTAAAAATATGCAAAATTTATAAAATGTGTAACAACTCCTAATTAAAGCAAACTAGACTACAATGACTAAATTTTGTTACAAACTGTTCAGCTCCTAAAAACAGTAGTCCTTTCCAAGTGCGGAAAGGACAGTGAATTGCGGGCGTGACAGGAATTGCTATCGTTCTAAAGTAACTATCCGAACAATTATCCAATAGGAGATTGTAGGGATCAGGCGATTGTAATTGTGACGGCCCAAGTTTTGCAACCAGGTGCGTTAGTGATGAACCGAAGTAAACCTGGTAACGGGTCCGAAATGCGGAAGTGAAAGATATAACCAAAGTCTCTAGAGTTATAAATCATCTCTAAAACACCAATGTGACATTCCATAAAGTCATGGAACTCAAAGAGAACGAAAGAGGAAATGAGAGTCAAAACGGGCAAAATTCGTCAATCAAGGGCAAAATGGTCAATTAATGAATAAAAAGAGAAATTTGACTCCAAACAAGTCAAATGAGGTGTATACAACCTAATCTAATTATTTCACAATATTTCAAGAGGTTCTAAGAACTTTAGCCAAGAATCCTGCAAAACGCCCATTCCCCGGTTTAAGCAAAAACTGACACTATCTCACTAAAACATGAATAACTCTCATTGTGATTTGAATATGAGAATTTCATTAGCACCATTGGAAATCTGACTCAAAATCCTTGAGTTTAGGCTTAAGAATCACCCCATTTGGATTAGAAATGAAGAAATTATGACCATTTGAAGTCGGAACAACAGTGCTGTTACAAAACTGAAGGGCAGCTATGTGATTTCCATTTAGGTCGACCAAAATAGCCATTTTGGTCAACTGAACTGGGCAAAAACTCACCAAAAGATTGAATTTTGAGGAAAAGTCACTTCGGTAGGCCGAAATAAAGCATCAGTCGACCGAAATGAACCCAAACAGTGATTTTAGCTACTAGAAAGTGAAATTTACTCTGCAAATGAAATCCAAAAGCCATCGGTCGACCAAAACAACATTTTGGTAGGTTGAAATGACCTAAGAAAGTGCAAAAAGTCCTGCTATGCACAAGAAAAGTTGAGGCTTCAACCAAGCTTCAAACCCCAACATGAATTTGGTCTAAAAACAAGGTTTAAAGCTGTACAAGAATGCCAACAAATGTACTTTACATATTGAAATGTGTTACAATGGCCCATAACCTCAT